CCCCCACCCCACACACACACACAAATAGCATTAAACTAGTAACGCTTCAAGTTACCACACTGCATTTTGCACTAAATTTTATAACAGATCGAACACTTGCACCTTCATCCGTGGGTAAAGATTGAACCTTAGATTTGTCCAGAAAGACTTAACAAGCTGAACCCAAGCCCCGAATGAATAACTGAATGATGTGTCATAAGCAATGTTCCCTCTAATTTTCCATGCATGTGTGAACATTCACACAAACTCTCTGAGCATCCCTTGGACCACACTGAGCAACATCAGACATGCACACGGCGGCCAAAGCAGTCTCACACCTGTCCAAAACCTGACATCAAAAAAAGTTACATGATGTCGATAAGTAACAACATAATTCAAACGATCTATACATCAAAACACAACAAATCATTGAATAGAAATTTATGGCGTGAATAAAATCAGCGCTAGTTTGTTCCTTTCATTTTAGCGTACAGGTGATTTTAAGTATAATTAAGTCTCAGTGAAATCTGTCGCAACATGGTCCTACATTGCCCACTCCTAAATAATGATAAACATGTTATTTAATAAAACACAAACATTTCTGGTCACCTGACATTTGAAATGTATGCACCTTCTATGATTTGCTACGTGCATCACCAACGAAATGGTAATTAATGAACAGTTATTATCATTAGGCATACTAGTGCCATCGTTCCAATGAGTCCCAAAGAGCTCCAGTCCACACCACACACAACTCGGCTTGGCCCGGCAACACACCACACGGCCTCCGTTGCTTTTACAACAGGTACGGGGCGGGGTAGGAGGGTGCCTGATTTTGCATGATATGGTCGCTTTTTCTGCTTCACTACTGCCAGCTGACGTTTGTCTTTTTTTTTTTTTTTTTTGGACACAGTTTTACAAATGGGAGATTTTTAAGATTAAGATTAAGATAAGATTAAGATATCCTTTATTTGTCTCACACTGGGGAAATTTACAGTCTACAGCAGCAAAATTGGGGGGTAGAAAGAAGAAAAAAACCAAAGTGTTTGCACAAAAATAAATGTGTCAGAAGAGAGCTATACACAGTTCAATATAAGTGCAATATAAATATAGATATAAAGTAGATATATATAAGCATATATGCAACTGGTATAAGGTGGCTGTGCTATTTACAATTGTAATTTAACAGGCGGTTGATGACAGAAAACATCACCGTGTCTGATTGTTGTATGTTCATCACTCTGCCAAAATGAATAAAGTACCTGTCTCCCTATCTATCCATCCATCCAATCTACAATGGACCTGCCCTCCAGCAGCATGTGTGACACTATTAAAAAATGTGCCAATGCCACAATGCCATTGGCACTCATTCTGAGATGTTGATTAGCTCTGACACTATTTTGAGGCTAACTTCCTGTAGAAATGTGCATTTGCTTATGAACCACTTTGCTAGTTTCATTGGCAACAATTTGATTGAGATCTGTAGCATCAGCAAATGTCCATTCTTTAGCAGTAAATTATGCACGGGTAAAATTCATCATTTGATTATCTTTTTCTCAAATTCTCCTCAGTCTAATGCCACACCAACTGTGGATTCTGTCTCGTGTTTGTCCATTCGTTGTTTGAAAAGCAACTTTGGTGAGCATAGTTTAATTCAGAAAGTTAATACCACAATAAGCCAAACACAAATTTATGCATTTGAAATTAGTTTATTTCTGGAAAGTGGCAATACATTATAAGAAATATTTTGAAACATTTTGACAAAATACGAAACAAATCCATCTGTTCATCTCCTAAAGAGCTTATCTTGTCTATCTTGAGCAAGCAGGGAGCTTGGGCATATACCAGCTGACTATGGGCAAAAGATAAACTGGTTTCCAGCCAAGCGTAGGCTAATACAGTAGAGAGACAGACAACCATGCTGCCACACCATTCGTGCTCACAATCACACTTAGAGACAATTTAGGGTGTTCCATTAACGTGCCATGCATGTTTTTGGAATGTGGGAGGAAACTGGAGTGCCTGGAGAACAGCGCGGGACTCGAACCCTGCACCTCTGCACTGTGAGGTCAATAAACTAACCAGTCAACCGCTGTGTCGCCCCAGTAAAACACACACACACACA